GTGAAAGTTTCTGAGTTCTCGGATAAAAGAAAAACGGCAGAAAGAAGCAAAGCAAAGGAAGCATGTGAAATAAGCTTGGCTAACTAATCAGATGCTATGGTTTTGTATCACAAACTGCTGGGTGTGTTCCTTCCAGGAATCATCTTCTTCAAGATGCCTCTCGTAGAAACAGACCTCACCATGGGACTTGATGCTGATCGCCGAGATGCTTCTGGTCCCATAACGCCCCTGTATGGTGCACCTTGGGCCATGAGTGAGAGTATTCATCGGAAAAAGATTTAAAAGTAAGAATGGAAAAGGAAGGGCTACCGTTGGAGATTCAACGAAGATGGAGCTGAGTTGGTATTCCAACTCTGGTGGGTAAACGTGAGGTAGGTCGGGTTCTTGGTCCTTGACAGTATTGGTCATGACCTCCTCCACCATCGTCTTCACCGGGAACTCACCGCTCCCGTTTTCAGAGAGAAGGTGTTTGAAACCCTCCCTTAGCCTCAGACACTGCAATGCAAAGACCACAATGGAGGAGTGTGTCAAGACTCAAGTCCTCCTCTAGCTCCAAGTGGTATAGGGGAAATGGCACATTTTACCTTGGGCCAAGGAGAGTCGAGGTTGGCATTGGAAAGGACATGGATCCCCGGAGAGACTTGCGTCACGAGCTTATCACCGTGGCTTGGCCGGTTGGTAATGTAAATCATTGAGTTGGAGAAGATATCAGCGACTACCAAGTTGAAGCCGTTGTACAGAGCAATTTCCTCTTGTATCTCCTCCGCAAACTTAGCCGGACTCTTTTGGCTCTGCTCTCATCAGCCAAAACCATATTAAAACTCCCGTAGAGTCTCACATGGCAAAGACAAACAATCAATCTAACAGAGAGAAGAAAGACCTGCAAGAAACGAAGAGGGAGATCTCCACGGGATTTAGCATCAGGGAAGGACGAGGTCTCCCTGAAATTGGTGAGGAAAGCGACACGGCCATGCTTGGTGCAGCCCAGCCACGTCCCGCCGCCGACCAGGTCTCTTCCTCCCACCGTCTCTCCGTCTTCCCACCAACGCAGCGCCTCCGTGGCCCTACACAAAACATTTCGATCATCAACCAAAGGAAGCAAATTTGAAGCGATCTCAGAGAGGATTCGATTCAATTCAATCACCTGTTGTGATATTCATCTCTGTTGAGGAAGAGAAGAAATGGGTAAAGCGGATGCGATTGCCACAGAAACACTGCGATGCACATTTTTGGATTGAATTTGAACATCCA